CATTGGAATGATGGATGATCCTGTGCGTGAGAGAGTAAGAGAGTGAAACTGCTAGAAACCACTCTTAATGTCAGAAAGAGGGAAAGTGCTTGGATTTTAACATGCGAACATGGAGTCTAACTAACTTTTATTGGTTGCAAAGATTGAGCTACACAGTTTACATGAATTTTTATGTTTGTGTAACCCGATGATACCACAGATGGTTTAGTTCGGCTTTCGATTTCCTTTCTATATATATACAGGTCGAAAATCTGAGATTTACGGCAAATGATTGGGTATTTTCCACTCAAGGATCAATAGATAAGAACACAACATAATTACTTCACAGAGGACGGGATAGCTTTAATTAATTCCCAGTTACACTTTGTAAGACTTTAACAGCTTCTCAGAGTTGAGTGAATCCATCTCGCAAGAAAGCAAAGGTCGTTCAGAAAAATCCACCGATAGAGATAGATTAGAGGAAGCAAGTGGCGCTATAGTTTAATGCATATCATTCGCTGTCAATCAGCATTGAAATTTGTCAGGCCTTCTTAATATTCACAAAAATTGAGGTCGTAAAAGTCGTCGAGTACTAGCAGCTATGAAGGTATACCTGTGCCTTGGAAGTATCTGATAATATTAGTTAGACGTGAGTTGCGCCCTTGCATGACGCCGACGAGCAACGAAGAGCGTATTGTCGAGAACTCACGGAAAAGCTACTCAGATAATATCAATGTACTAGAAAAGTTCTCGTGTTTCAGATCATGATGCATCAGTACAGAGCAAAACGTTTATAAGAACGACAACTGGTAATCCTTGCGTTCTTAAAGGCATACTCAAATGAAATCACATCGGAGTGATGTTTTCTTGCTCTTTAGGGATCAATATCTTGCGATGTGCCTAGTGATATGAGCTAGACTTTTGTATCAGTGAGAATTTGTGTAATTTTTAGATTTATACAATATCTGTTCGAGAATGTGCAACGATTCACGTTCTCTAATATATTTAATAATTCGGAAAGTCTTCGTGTTTGGTGACTCTTGCTTGTTATGATCTAAGTTAAAAACAATCAGATTTTTTATAGATCTACTGAATGTAAAAGTGTTGGGTTCCTAAACAATTTAGATCGAAAGTCATCAGGAACATGAACATAATTATGAAAATGAATGTATTTAATTATTATTGTGGAGTTTTCGAGAAAATCTGCACGAGTTAATGGTTTGGAATAAGATTGTGTTATGTAAAAGAACCAATAACTTTTAAACACGCATGAAATTTCAGGTGAATTGATGCATTGACTCAAAAAGTATTGGGAGATGAAAGATATCTTCCGTACTTCACGCTCAGGTTCTAAAAACCCTGCGTTAGCTAGGATATTTCTAAGAATCGTGCATTAAGTTGCTTTTAAAATACATATCCCTTTGTAGTATCACCGATAGACCACTGAATTCTGAAACATGGTTTCATAGAATGTGGTCTGCGGTTAGAAATGTAAATTTTTCTAAAACTCGTGGTTTGCTCAGTAATCTGATACAAAGAGCATATGACACAAAGCTGAATATCGTAGGCAATGGTATATCAGTGAAGAGTTTAGACAGTCTCATCAGGGTATCATGACATGAGGAATTCAGAAGACCGAAACACTTTCAGTGCTTTGATAGGTTTTCAGAAAACATGAAGCACTCGATACTTTTGAGCAAAAACTTGGCAACGACAGAAGTACACAATGTATACAGAGATGCAACATTTTAGATAAATTGAAGAATCTATTTTGCTAAATACTCCATGTTCATGATCCTGATTTGTGAAAGGGGCGCTTTTCAGTTGATGGATAGAGATATTAGTGAAATGCTAATGAACTGAGCGAATGAATAGTTTTGTGTATGCCTTCCTCATGTAAGAAAATTGCTGGAGAAATCAACCCTAATATGATTTTAATTGATTTTGCAGGGTGAATAATTGATTAAAATCCAATAATTCCGATTTATTTCGATAAATTGGGCGACTGAAATCGATGAATCATGACTTTTTTCCACTAGTTAAAATCAATACCTCAAGGTAATAGATTTTCATCAGTTGTTTATGACTTTTACCCAAAGAAAATCAAGTAATGCCGATTTTTATTCATTATTTTCAATTAAAGTTGGAAATCGATTTTAATCCTGACATTAGAAATCAATTAAAATCATATTAGGGTTGACTTCTCCAGCAATTTGTTTTGCATGGGAATCAATTACCCTAAACTCATTTTCACTTTAGTTAAAAGAAAATTTTTTTCTATATCCTTACAAGAAATCGCGCTCATTTCTTCAACAATCCTTTTCATTTGACTTTGAATGATGAAATGTAGAGGACAGCTTTCCGTTAAAATATCTATGAATTTTTATTTTTTTTAAATGATAAGTGTTAGGCAGGTTAATTACGTTGAATAGCATATCTTGGTTGATTTTATCATGTTCGAATAAGATTTCAGACATTTGTCACAGGCAAAATTAAACCTAAGCAAATTTCGTACGCGAAGAGGCGCTTCTTTTGAAAAAGAGATTTTCATTTCGATTTATGAATTATGTGGTAAATAATATGCTGCGAAAAAATTGTTATAGGTAAATGGCCAATTATTTTGATGAATTCACTAATAACACGAATTCATAGGATAGCACCATTTTTTCTTTTTACCTCTTCTTTGGTTGATATAATAAATGTGACTTTATTTTAATCGATTTATTAAATAAAAGAAATGTGCAATAAAAACTGATTGCGGTTCACTTCAGGTCAACGTTTTCTATGAAGTCAACCGTTGAACTATCATATTTGCAGTAACATCATTGATGACCTAGATATTATGACGATATATAAATCGATCTTGAGTCTCTCGTAATCACCAAGTCGTAAAGGTGATCTTAATTTACTCTATACCTGTAAAAATCTGATTGATGAATCTACAAACGATTGAACTGAAGGATAGAAAATTGCAAATTCTATAAGAAGGTCGCCATTTTCACAGATTGTGCATTTTCATCACTGTGTTGAATTTTTTTTCATACAGTTCATATTCTGAAGTCACTCATTCTAACTCCCATTTTTTCGCGTTCCCTCATTCAATGTGACAATTAACCATGACATCAATCTCTTCATACGATAGAAAACGATAAAATTCATACATAATAACCCAACTTACTTCCATTACAAAGCACCAGGTTTCAGTATCCAACAAAAGTGTTTAAGCACATACGATACTGAATCTTCACAAATATTGCAACAAAATCTTAGCAAATACTATATTTTCTTGAACTGTAAATCCACTACCGTAGGGAAAACTAGCATACTCTACATCTTCTCGAAAGCTTCTTGATTTTATATTGGGAAAGGTAGCGTACTCTACATCTTCAAGGTATAAGAAAAACTTATATAATATGAAAGCGCAGACAGCAAGTTTTTTTCGAAGTTAAATTAAACCTGAATATCTACTACTTTGAATTTGAAATATTTAGTTTAAATTTTGAATTTGAAAGATAGTAAGGTTTAATTTTGCCCGACACATGTTTCTTAGTCGTATATGACCAAGTTGCGTATATGTAGAATTACATGTATGTCAAATCATGCACTTTTTAAAAATTGTATTGGGATTATCTTGTTGACAAAAGCGAATATAAAAAACATTTAAGGAGATGTAATCGGTGTCTTCGAGAAATTGACTACTGCATTGGTTGGAATCGATTGTCAAAACTCTAATCGATCAACAAAAAATTAAAATCTTATTGAGAAGGTTTTAATCGATGATTTACGATGGAGTATAATGGTTTTAAGACACTTTCCCACCACCCCTCGAAAGTTTATATTTGCCCAAGAACGTCCAAATGGACTGAAATTCTGATGATATATTGGACCTTGAGCAGATAGTCTGTGATACAAATTTCAGTCCGAAATCTGCTTGTTTAAGGAAGTTATGAACCAAACACGGTCCAAAAATGGTCTATTTTCCATCCCTAGTTATTTTGACCGTTTCCCATCACAATCGGATGAACTTTTTTCCGTTCAAGAAAGCATGCAAATATGCAGGGCATGACGCTCTTTGATTTTGAAAAGTACTTTCGTACACTCAGAAAGGACGGGTGGCGTTAAGAGCCGAAATCGGCCCCCTGTAGGAATCGGGATTTTCTCTACCAAAATTATCAAAAACGATGCCAAAAATTGTTTTATAGCAAAATCAGTTCAATATATTATATGTTTTGTAGGCACAGACAGCTCGAACTTTAATATTCAACATGAGGATTTAACCTTATCTTACGTTTTAAATACGTCTAACATCCACCGACTTTTTAACTTCTAGCACTTCTCATTCACTAGATCTTGATCAGATCTAGAGTTTTATGCAAAAAAATCGCGAAAAAACCCTTGGCCCGGGAGTCATGATAAGAGGAACAAATCAAATTTTTTGATAAATAATCCTGATCTCTGATGAAATGGCTAAGAAAATAATCTCGATTTTAATCGGAACCATTATGAATTTTATATCAGAAGATAGATTTCGATCAGATCTAGTATTTCCTACGAAAAAATGAAATGCCTATTTCCAGAAGTGGTTGGTGCTGCAATATTGTTTGAGATGTTTTTTTCTTCTGTACTGGATGTGTTATTCGGCTACTGAGGAATATGAGAGAAGTGATCGTAAGTGTTGCAACGGAACGCAAATATCGTTGAAGAGAAAAGAAGAAAGAAAAACTTGTATCCGTGAAAAAAAGTGTACGCTTAACACGTGTTGAATTATCTTTATACGTTAGTGTAGCGAAGTCATTTGACATAGACGTGTGAGTTAAAACGTATCTGTTCATCACGAAAAAAATTTGGAATCGCCCGCTGCGCCTGGATAATCGTGTTTTTCTGTTGAAAAGTATTCATTTGTTAGTTGAATAAGAATTATGCCGCACTATTATTGTCCCTGTGGGTCACGTTTTGAGCGGATCTCAAGTGCTCGATTATCGAAGTCTTCATGTCTACGTTTATTTGTATCAATTAAAACAATGCAATCAATTTCAAGTGAAACAAAAGTGTGTGATGCTTGTCGATCTGCTTATTACAAGTGGAAAAGACAGAATCCTGATTTTGGTGACTTATTATCACGTATTGAAGAAGAAGAATTGGCTGAGGCTGACGATAATGTGGATATGAATCAGGTATTTAAATTCTTTTTTTTGAAACTGCTATTCTTGTTTCTTCTCCACAAATTTATCAGAATAACTCGATGGATTCAGATATTATTGATGTAGCAAAGGTAGCAATTACATCCGATACGAATTCAACGTTCGGCATAACACAGGAAACTATCACTTTGCCAATGAATTGCACCACTTCATCTCACAAGTAAGACACAATTTATTTTTATGTGTTTATATTGAATCTTTCACTCACAGAACTTGTTGCATTTGTTCGGCTAATATGGAAAGAAACTCAAGAACAGTATCAGCAGAAGACCGTGATCTTATTTTTTTGAAAAAAAATATTCTAATACCTGAAGGTGCTCGGTGTTGTTCTCAACATTTAGATGATGATCGATTGACAAAGAACGCGGTCGACAAAGTTGGACCGTTCTCGATACAAAGCAAACGATTTAGTTCAAGTGATGTACAATTACTGATAAGTAGATGGCAAATCTTATTTGAACAGCAAAAACGCTTTGATTTTGACAATCCTTTATCTTTATCCGATGATGAATATCAAATCTTAACAAGTTTAACAAAAGTTCAATTTGAAGATCTAGCTTCATATCTATTTCATTCTAATATTCGTAATTCCAGCAATAGATCTATTAGAACTGCACTTGCCATTTTATTATGTAAACTTCGACTTGGATTATCGCTTAATATTTTGGCTGTGTTATTCCAACTACCAGACAAAAAAGCAGTATCTCGATCTCTTAAAACTGTCCGAGCTGCATTGATGGCCCGATTTGTACCAAGCAATTTAGGATTCAATCATATCACACGACAGGAAATTATCGATCAACATACTTCAACAATGGCTCGGCGACTTATGTGTGATGCTGAATCTAATACAGCGATTGTTGTGATAGATGGAACATATTTATATATTCAGGTAACGAAAAAGATTTCGTTCTTCTGAATATAATACGACATGTTTTTCCATTAGAAATCGAGAAACAACGAATTCCAACGTAAGTCATTCAATCTTTACAAGAAGCGATCGCTTTTGAAGCCGATGGTTATTGTTTCCACCACCTGCTATGTCATCGCTTGCATTGACCCTTTTTGTTCAAATTACGCAAATAATGATGCTTCTATCATGAACAATATTCTGCATCGAAATACGGAAAATATATTAAATTGGTTGAAAAAAGTAGAGATTCTGCACGATGTATAAAAACTAAGTAGCCTCCATTTAGGATGACATTGTTGTTGTGGACAGAGGGTTTCGGGACTCAGTTCACATAATGGAAAGTCTTGGTTTGAATGTAGTTTTACCGCCTTTTTTAAATGGCCGTCGACAATTTACCACAACCGAAGTAAACCAGTCGAAATATGTAACAAAGGTACGATGGGTGGTAGAAGCAGTGAATTCAAGAATTAAACAGTTTAAG